GAATAAATTTCCATTGCTGAGAACAAAATGGAGAGGCAGCTTGGATTAAATAGTGATCCTTTACCCAGCATTCCCCCAGACGGAATGCCATGATGACTGATCAGCATAGCCCAGTGCAGCTGGCCCTAGGCTGAAACCTCAACTTGAATACCTACACCCATCTGTGAACATTTGGATGAGTTCCTCTCTGCCTCATTTTGGGGGGGGGAAAAAGAGAGAACCATGGGGTATCTGTGAAGAGGAAATTACTGTATTGTGTATGGAGAATGTATTGCCATAGTTTTAAAAGTGTTCTTTGCGTATTTGCAAAAGACAAATGATATTAAGGACAAACTCATCTTCCTTACGCAAACTTCTCTTGTCTTTACACTTTGGGACACATTTTATTTGCTACAGGAAGTGGCATTTTCCTTAAGATTACAAGGCAAAATTTGTACCTTGAAATACCATATAGCTTGGTGGAACATACTAGGTTGGGAGACTGATTACACCCGAATTCAAATACTACTTCAGTTTGTCTGAGATGGCGTTCAAATCCATTCTCAGTTTCTTCAACTACGGTAAGAACTGGCACGTGATAGGCTACAAGCCAGATCTGGCCCATTTTCCAGTATTCTTGTCAGTAAAGGTTTTTTGTAAACAGAGAGAGCCCATTTGTTTGTATGTGTCTATGAGTGTTTTTGGACTACAAAAATGGGTCTTACCAGAGAACGTAGACCTCTGCCCTGCAAAGTCAAAATTATTTGTTCCTTGGGCATCTTACACCTAATTTCTCCAATAAGAGAAAAAGATTACCCAGATGTAACTTTTGGCAAGGACAAGGAGAAACACAAGGTAGAATTTATACACCAGAGAGGGTCAAGCCAGTGCAACAACTATCATCTGGACTCAAAATCTAAACCTTGTACTTTTTTTTGTTGGTGGTGGTTTTGTTGGCTGTTTTGTTGTTGGGTGGCATTTTTTTTTGTTTTTTCCTATCCTCTGTCTACAAAGCCATTCTGTCCAAAAACAAAATATGAGCTGGACTTCCTCTAACTTGGATTAAACTAATCTGTAACTCCACCACACCTGTGTGCTCAGGAAATTTCTATGGCCCTATTCATCCAAAGCACCAGGATTTATGTTCCATTGTTTGGGAACATTTGCTTTCTATCTCAGCGTTTCCACAGTAATTATACAGGAGACTTGATAAGACTTGGCACGTATTTGTTTTCCATTTTTAATTTTTATTTAGAAATAATAAAATAAGACATAATATATAAAAATATGTACAATCCATGGTTTGTGCAGTACAATAGGAAGACTTTAGATACAAAAAAAAGAAGAGATGGCAAATGGGAAAATTTAATAACTATCATGATTGTCAAAGGCCAGAATTGATCAGCTTTCCAGAGCCCAGAGCTGAAACCTAACGTTATTTTTTTTAAATCTAGTGTGTTGAAGATCGTGAGTAAAGAGATAACTATTCAACACTTTGTACATTTCCACCTGAACATTATTAAACACAGAGTGAAGACAAACTCACTCTATTTCTTGGGTTAAGTCTTTTCCCTTTATGGAGTGACTTATAAAATAAAGGCTGGCATTTATTATTTTCCAAAGGAACATGAGTTTTTGAGAATAGAACTAACCCAATGCACATTAGGAGTTGGAGGGTGTGGGGCAACTGGGAAGAAAAGAAGCATAGGGAAGGAATAATGCATGTACTAGAACCAACCAAACAAACAAACAAACAAAAAATAGAAGTCCAACAAACTTTCTCTAGGAATTTTGAAATGGCTACAGTGCTGTAGTGACATCCTTAGCATGTCTGGTTCAAGTATACTCTTAGAGGGATAGAAAACTATTCCTTTCTCAGTAATCAAAATAGAATTCACTTTGTCTACCTCTTATTTAAAAATAGAATAACCAAGAATCTATGCCTCCCTCCCTCCCCCACAAAAAAAAATAGAATAACGCCCTTCCAGATAGGGGCAAACATTCTTTAAAAGGGAACACATCATAAAGAAATTCGAACAGGATCTGCTTACAAGAGAGAAGCAACATGCATCTGAGAATCAACCCCAGATATTCATGATGAGTCTCCTCTATCTGTCTTCTAGAGACCAGTGTACACTAGTTAGGCAGACCCAGTCAGTAAGGACAAATATGTTGAAGGTAAAATGCTATAAATAGTGTGCATTACCTGTGTCTTGGCTCTTGACAAGAAAAAAAATAGCCATTTAAAGCTTGTAACTATTAAATTGCTAATAACTATAAAAAGCTTTCAACTGAACAGTCCATGCTGAAATAAATAACAGAGGAACATAGCACTACAAATCTTACAAGGTCGGTAAATATTAGCTAAAACCATGCTAACCGGTAGCATATAGGAACTAGCTCCCAGAAATTGCTGCACGAAATGATACTTTCTGTGGCATTATTTGTTTTTTTTTTCTTTACACACTCCTATTTACATTTGGCTTTAAATATGAAAATATCTGATAAACTTTATAAAATGTACACTTTAAAAACATAGCTTCTGCAAAATTTTTCTTGAAAAAAACAAACAAACAAACCTGTGCACCAGAAATTTTAGGTTTTTTTCTTTTTTTTTTCAGAAATAAGTTGCAAGATTTCCCACTCTCTTTCTTGATCCTGCATCTACTCCCTTTCCAATATCTCAAGGCTCTTTAAGTGGTAGCATTATGTGTATGGGGGTGTCCCTGGTAGTCACCCCCATTCGTCTCTGTATCTTCATTTAATTTATGATATCACTAAATACTCTTTGGTTTGATTATTTCCCTCAGCAAAAACATCATGGTAATAGCAGCAGCTGGAGTCCACCATAACCTCTCACTCCCAGTCCCTCCAATTCTAAACAACTTCCCAAACTGCCTTTTGAATTTAGGCTTAAAAAAAAGAACACCAACTTGCTTGAACATCTTTTTCTTCTTGGTTCCAATGAAACTAACCCCACAGTTTTCAGACGCATCTACATAGAAGGCTGCGGACAACAACAACAAAAAAAAAACTGTCCTCTAGTTGTTTTGTTTTTTCTTTTGCAGGCACTGAATCCAGATATGGCTGTTCAAGAACCACAGGCCATCACAAACATCATGTAGAACACAAAACAAAACAAAAACAAATACATGATTCTAGAACAAGCTGTTTTTTAATGGCATACCAGGATATAATACCATGAGAGTTGATTATTTTGAAACTCCAATTAAAAAGGAAAGTGGGCAATGCTAGAATTCACACACACACACACAAAGGGGGGGAGGAAAACAAAAATAATAATAAAATAAAAATAGATGTATTATTGAGCTGGTGCAGGTGCGGGAGGAGGCTGGTGCTTCTAGCCAAGCAGAAGAAGGGAGAAATGAAGTGGGCTTAGTAACTTCTTGGAGTTCCACAGGAGATGATGATGATCAACTCACTTTCATCATGAGGATGAGAACTTAGAGGGAAAATGACATAAGTCTTTCCAACAATTATTTCCTTAACTTTGTGATTGTTTATGGCTGTTTTTGATCCTGAAATACTGAGATAATTCTCATCCCTACCTCTGCCATCCAAAAGGCAAATGTCATCTCTCCCTCTTAAATACTTAAGCTAAAGTGTTGAAGCAAAGTGTTTGTCCTCACCTCCCTGTCTTTGGCATTTACGGCTCTCTGTGACACAGCAAGATTCAATCCAGACTGAGCAGAGAAAGAAAAAATCAAAAGGAAGAAAGAAAGTAGAGGCCAAGCATGACCATGTCAAGCTAGAGATAGCCTGGTTGTCAAGGTAAAGAAATCACCTACGGAACATGTTATCTATTTATCTTTGATGCTAGATGGCTCTATTTGGAAGGTGCTAGGATGCCAACAAACTCAACCAAGATCTTATGGAACCAGTATTAGAATGTGTTTAAAAAAAAAAAAAAGAGGAAGATAGCCCGGAAAATTCAAGGGGCACATCACCATTCTTTACTTTAATGCATTAACCTGTCCAGCACTCCCTATCAGGAAAGAAAAGGCGTGTGTGTGTGTGTGTGTGTGTGTGTGTGTGTTTCCCCTTTCTTCTTCCTCTTCAAATAAGCAGGTACAGGAAAGAATCTTAAAAGTACTACACTTGCTGGACTGGACTCTGTGTGTTTGCTGCTTCTGTTTTTTGTGGTGTGTGTGTGGGGGGGGGGAGTTCCTGGTTATTTGTTTTCTTTTTTCTTCCTTCCTTCCTTTCTTTCTTCCTTTCTTTCTTTCTTTTTGAGAAAAGGTGCAAAACAGACAGGCTCTTCAAGGTCTTACTGCAGTTCAAAGTCTCTTGATTTCAAGGCAACCCTTGGAACTTTATTTCTTTTTCTTTTAGCATAAGCTCCACTGTGCAAAAAAGTGTGCATTATCTTTGGTATTTATTTTAAGTAGTCTAACTTAAATTTTGAGATAATCCATTAACATTATGGAGAGAAAAAAAAACACAATAAAAATAAAACCCAGAGGCTACCATTTGGCTAGTGTTACGTAATGCCCTTATATAACCAGAGTGTGAGAGAGAGAAAGACAGACACAGAGAGAGAGGGAGAGAGAGAGACAGAGAGACAGACACAGAGACAGAGAGAAAAAGAGAGCGATCAATCCTAACACAAATTACTAGTCTCAGAAAAATCTGGCTCTCCTTTTTGGCAGTTAATCGCCAAACACTTGCCACTGTGAATCACTTCATAAGCTTTCAACCCGAGTTCAACACTGACTTTTAAATTACACACAAGAAAAACTATACTTGCAACAAAAATACACTTTGTGTTCATGTAGTTAGCAGCTTTTCAAAAAAATTAAGGCAGAGTGCTACCTTTGTTTTATGCCATTAAAAACATTCTTGTTCCCCTAAAGAAAAGCATTCTGGATAAGTTGAATATCCAAGCTAGGCTTGTCTGCAGATTCAAGTTTTGTAAAAAACAAAAAAACAAAACACAAAACACAAAAACGATACATTAAACAATAACAAACAAAAAAAAACAACCCATAACTTATTCTACAACACGTATGTGCCTTTGGGGGTCACACGGCGGCGTGCTGAGTGCATGCCACCCATCATTGAGCTTACAGTCTTTCCTGGAAACCTTTTGGCGAGCCTTAGTCCCTGGCGGGGGCGCTGACCTCTGAGCCAGTCCTGTGGTCTCTGTCACTCTATCAGGCCTTTGACCCACAGACCGCGTGGTGGTGAAGTGAATAATAATCCCAGACAAGGAACCACTCCCCGCTGACACACAACCAGTCATATTTCCGATTCTCGCCTTAAGGGTCTCGGCTCTAAGGGGACACTGGCCTGGTTGTGCAGGTCTAGATCAGGGGGGGAGTCCGTACTTGTACTTTCGGGGGGCCCGTTTTCACTGTCGTCTTCCTCTTTGCTGGTGAGGGCAACCTCGTTTTCGTAGCAAAAGGAATTCGCGTTGGAGAGGATGTACTTCTTCTCCGCTAAGTCCCTAGCACTGCAAAGAGGCGTGTTGGGAACCTCGTAAGTCTTGTGGAACCTGGAATAATCGACCTTGTAGTAATGCTTCTCTTCGAAGAGCACCGGCTCGTAGCGGTGACCCCACAGGATCTCGTTAGCCAGGTAAGAACTCCGGCACTGCGTGGTCATGGCCGTGGCCTCCACCATCCCTTCCAGGATCACCACGATCTCGAAGTCCGCGTTGTCGATGTCCTGCTTGCTCAAGTCATACAGGGGGCTGTCTTCGTCTATCTCGTGGACGATGGTGATGGGCGACACCAGGAAGATCCGGTCGATCCCGCTGTCGAAACCCACATTGATGTCGATCTGGTCCAGGGGGATGTACTCCCCCTCGGAGGTGATGCGGGACTTGAGCAGCTGGGCGCGCACGTGCGCCTCCACCAAGTGGCTCTTGCGCAGGTTGCCCACGCGCCACATCAGGCACAGCTTGCCGTCCCGCATGGCGATCACGGCGTTGTTACTGAACACCAGGGTCTCGTTCCTCTTCTTGGGCTTCGCCATCTTCGCCATGACCGCCCCGATGATGAAGGCGTCGATGATGCAGCCCACGATCGACTGGAAGACCACCATGAACACGGCGATGGGGCATTCGTCCGTGACGCAGCGGAAGCCGTAGCCGATGGTGGTCTGCGTCTCGATGGAGAAGAGGAAGGCGGCCGTGAAGCTGTTGACTTCCGACACGCAGGCTTTGCTCTCCTTCGACGCATCCAGGTCCCCGTGGAGCAGAGCGATCAACCAAAACACGCAGCCAAAGAAGAGCCAGGACAGCACGAACGCCAGACAGAAGATCACCAGCATCCACCGCCAGCGGATGTCCACGCAGGTGGTGAAGATGTCCGCCAGGTACCGCTGCCCCTTCTCGCCCACGTTGATGAACTGCACGTTGCAGTGGCCGTCCTTCTTCACGAAGCGGCTCCGACACTGCTGTCGAGTGTGCACTTTGCTCTTCCCGTTCCCGAAGCCATTGGCCACCGCCATGGTGGCCAACTTCATGCCGTCTTCTTCCGAAGAGACGATGCTGTAGCGGTTGGTTCGCACACTGCCCATCGCTTCTGCTGGGGGCTCCAGTGCTTCTGCTTTGGGAAACAGTCTGAGTTTTTGCAAGACCCTTTGGAGAAACAGTTTTGAATGTTCAGTGAGGACACACGCACACAAAAAAAAAAAAATAAAATAAAATAATAAAACGAGGAGAGATGAGTTGTCTCCAAGAGCCTTGCGGTTCTACCAAGGTCTCCTGACGGACATGCAGTTACCTCTGTAACTCAGCAGACATCCAGAGAGTTTGTCCTGCAAGAGAAGAACACAGAGCCCTTCGTTACAAAAGAAGTCCTTTCCTGAAAGAGTAAGGCAGCATTTCCCAACCGAAACAGAACCGAATACAGAAAAGAGTCTGCATTGGATTGCAGGGACCTTCATTCCTTGTTCCCTAGAATGTTTCCTTCCCTCAATAGTTACTCCAGATCACAAAAGTGTTGGACAGAGATGAGTTACCTGTAACACTCTTTCCACCAATCTTTCAATTCTCACCTCTTGTACTTCTGGCCACCTCTCTATTTAACCTCCAGGTTGACCTAGCAGCTCTTACTCTCTTCCTTTTTCGCCTTTCCTGCTTGCTAGGTTTCCAAGTCATTCAACCAAAGAAAGTCTTTCTGATTCCAAGGCTTGTCAATGAACTTTCAGAAAGAGAATACTTCCTGTCAATGCAGCCTTGATATTAATTGCACTGCAATGCATTATGGGGGGAAAATCGAGCCCTCCACGAGAAGGCCGACTTCAAGAGGCCCAGGCGATTTTGTGTGAGCCCTCTCTGGGAATCATGTGAATGGATGGAAGTTTCTGGATCGAGTTTGGGTTTGGTCCATCGCTTTGCACACTTGGAGTAGCCACTGTGCAGCTATGCCTGCCAGCATCTCAGTTAGTGGGAGTGATTCTGACTTGAAGACACAGCTTTGCTCTGGGGGATAGAGAACAATTCTGTTGCTTAGCAATAAGAGTCGTTGAAATTCTCCAGAGATGGGATTGCCATGTGTAATGACAGGCTAGGAAGCAAGCACCTTTGTGCCAAAGGACCAGGTCTTTAGCGGATTGAGATAAGGCAGGAACTCATTTCGTGTAGGTCCAATGCTGGGTTCTTTCAGACAGAGACAACTTTGTAATCTAAGCAGCTCATAAATGCCAGTCAGCTTACTTTCACTTCCAGGACTGTTGTTTGCTATAGGTTCCTATGGGGGAAGGCATTCACCTTTACTTAACAAGAACAAATAGCAATTTTCATTTTCTTTTTCCAATTGCCTCATTCTCCCCTAGGTTAAGAACTACCTACGTGCATGAACTTTCCATCTTGACTCTAATAAAGATACATTATTCTTTGACTAATAACAGCCTAAGAGAAAGCCAAAGGTGTTTTCTTTATCAAGTTTGTATTCACAAAATGAATTCAACCTAGCACTAAAATATCAAAGTGATTCACACCTTTTTTTAAATTTTGCAACAACAAAAGGCATGTCCTGTATTGAAGAGAGACATCAGAAATTTGTTGAAGTTCTGATAAGGCAGACACCCCTTTTTCTTTCTCCTCCCCAAAACCACACTAAAGATTAAGCAGTCACCAGAACCATTTTTCAGTCAAGCCCACTGAAGACAAATGAAGCAAAGCATTTATCCCAGTTTTGTGCATCCTTTTATAAAGAGGCAAGGTGCATTGTCTTCGAAAATGCCTTGTTACAGTCTTTTGACTTCTTCTATATCCAAGCGATTATGCAAGAATGTGCCCCAACACATTTTTCCTAAGATTAGTCATCTGTGAAAATTGCAATGTGTGTTACATTTTGGCAGCTTTTGACACCTAAATGATGCCCCGATTTGAAAGTGCCTTTGAATTACTTTCTAAAAAGAAGGTACAGTGCCTTCCCTACCTTCCACCTGCTTCAATGTTTTGTCTGCTTCCTTATGAAGTTTGCACTTGGACCAAAGGTGGGGAAAAAAAGATTCATAAACCTCAGGCTTGTAAATCATAAATATGGAAAGATTTCTTTTCCTCTTTTTTTTAAACAGTGATTATTGGCTCATATGTAATTGCCAGGCATTTTTACATAAACACAGAGAAAGCAATGGGACACTCAACACAGGTGTACTTTTCCAATAAAGCAAGGACAAAAGAATCTTCATTTACAAAGGGTTTGAAACTTGGAATTTGGCTTGACTTGAGACTATCTGAGTATAAACTGACACAAAGAAATTCCATTTACATGATTCAAAACAATCCATCAATCCTTCGGTCTGAATTACCATGGGGGAGGCATGAGCAGTATAATATCACCTCCAATTTATTTTGGCTTACTTCTTCACTCTTTATAGATGAGAGCCTAATAACCATATGAAATCTAAAGGCTGACATACGCCTTTCCAAAGATCCTGATGTCAGGATGAGATTGTTTGAATTCCACAAACCACACAATACTAGCTTCCTATGAATAGTTTTCCCCATTTAGAGCCTTGAAAAAGGCCCATGTAGAGAGACTGTGTTATTCTCTCATTTCCACTGCTAATGGCAGAATTTGTTTCCTAAGTGGAGCACCATCTAGAAAATTTCCCATTTCTCTCTCGAAAGGGAAAATAAGTGGTTGCATTGTGATCATTGTTTTAGGCAAAATGGAGACATTTGTAACTTCAAATAGATACCCCGAGTATAATATGTGTGCATGCGCATTCTATATAGTTGGACTTTGTCGAGGTAATTACCTCACAGAAGTGTAGAACCTGCCAGATTTGATAGGGTAACTGTCTTAAGAATCCAACACAAAAATTGCTTTCTCACATGCCTCAGTGGTGTTAAGTAGGCAGAAAATTTCCTTGCCCACTCCTCTCCATGAGCATCTGTGGAAAGCTTTTTTGTTTTAAATTTAAAAATAAATAAGGCATTCATGCCACTTTATTCCAAATCATCTTCTGAGAAACAATGAACTATAGAAACATGAAAACACTAAATGAGTTGATGGCTATAGCTCCAGAGAATGGATAGTTGGTTTGGTGAACAATGTATAAAATCCTCTTTCAGCTTTAATATTTACAGAGCTGGCTGTCAATTCAATGGACACAAAGAATCATTTTTGCCTAGGCCACAGCCAATGATGTAGAAAGTATTTCTGGGAAATTGAGAGGCTACATGTGGGGCTGTTCATGTTAAGACTATTTATAGGCTGAGCCAAAATTAAGCATAAGCAATGGAAAAAAATATTTCAGTGCTTCAATCTTAGGTAGATATGAAATGGGGTGGGGAGAGAGAGAGAAGAGATACAAGGTCAAAGAGATCACATAGGCTAAATGAGGGACACTAAACTGCTTTCAGTATGTAGGAAATAGTTCCAATAGAATCTATTTTAAAGAAATAGAATTAAAAGGTAATCAAGAGGAGTAAAAGAGAATGACTATGTCTTATAATTATAGGCCAAGAACAAAGTTTCTGCCTAAGGATAGGAGATAGCAAAAGAAAATGCACTGGGCTATGAGAGGTCTGCTAATGAGTGTTTAGAGCAGCTATTCCCCAGCTGACGCCATATAGACCAGCCTAAGTGAGCTCTGGGTACAAGTTGCTATGTGAGCCCAATTGCTCTCAGAGCAACCTCTCTGCAGCTCAGTAAACAGAAAGGAAGAGAGGAAGGAGGGGGAAGTGAGCAGAGGAGAGAGAACACCCCTTTATCTATGTGAGCTCTGTCTTCAACAACTATGTTCAGCAAGGCATGCTGCTGTGATGCGCAGCATTTGCAGATTTTGGAAAGCAAACAATTGGTAAATAGTAACATACATGAAAACTGTCATGAAATGGTAGAGATACTTAGGTCATGTGGCTAATAGTTCAGGATACTCCAAAGTCATACAAGGACTCTACCATGAACTAGAAAAAAAATCTTCAAATGAAGAGTCTGAAGGAGAGAGATACAATCCCAAAGGTATAAAAAATCTATTTCTCATGGATAGTAATAATCTAAAAAAAACAAAGTACCATCAATCTATGAAGGGAGGGGCGGACCTTGACTTCAACTCTCACCCCTCCCTTCATATCCCAAGTAACATGTATCTTTCCTCCAAAGCATCAGGATTTTTGTGGATGGTGACAAATATAAAGACTCAGAAGGGAGCAGGAAGAAAGTAACAAGTGTAACAGTGTTACATAGCAGACACACAACAATTGGTAGAAAGGAAATCGGACAGCCTATTGATTATTAGTGTAATGATAAAACATGATTAAAAAGTCAACATTCTTTGCATGTCCAAAACAGATTTTTTTCCAATATCACCCTATTTCCCAACATCCCAAGTTTTTGAAAATCTCCAGAATTCTCTTTATCATCACTATGCTACTGATACATTCACCCAGACAGACTTTAAACTACCCATTCCCTATCTCTAATTTCTTTCTTCAGTTGTCATGATGAATTCATGTTCTGATGCAATCTTTGTGCAGACTCAAGTTGTAGTGATCTTTGCTTCCTTGAAACCAAATTGCAACCAAGAAAAGGCATTGATACCATTATTAATGAGACTAACGAAGTGCTTGGGGCAGGGTGACATATGATGGGAAAGTTCTGCCGTCTTCAGGCTCAAAAATACAAACTCAAGCTGGGGCTCTCTTTCCCCCAGCAAAGCAAGTTTAAGATTCTTACTCTGGAAAGCCCCACTTGAAACAACCACCAGAAAGATAATAAAATAAAATAGACATCAGGATCCAGAAGAAGTTTTGATTTGAGAGAGCGAGGGTAGGGGAGTGAAGGGGAGAGGTGTCTGGATCTCAGAAGAGAGCTCATATCATACCTCCAGCCCTCCCTGCCCACCCCTGCTCCTTTTTTCTCCCCTTTGTCTTTTTTGTTGTTGTTGTTTCCTTCTATCTTTTCTCCTAAGAAGAAACAAACTCAGACTCGCCCCTGCACTGCAAATCCGGTATCTCGCTACAGCTGGTACATTGGAAGTTATGAGCACAAACAGACGTTGCAAGAAATCTGTGTCTGTTGCTCAACTGTTCCAAGCATGTCTCAGTATTTTTAGCTCTGAGGATGTTCAAGGGCTCGCACAAACTAC